CTGGGATTACAGGCTTGAGCCACCGCGCCCGGCCCAGACAAATCTTAAGTGTAGTTTGGTTAATTGAGGCAAATACATGAACCTGTTTCACTCACAGCCCTCTCAAAATCACGTGGGCTGGGTGCGCTGGCTCACACCTGTAATCCCAGTATTTTGGGAGGCCGAGGCTGGCAGATCAGGAGGTCAGGAGTTCGACACCAGCCTAGCCAACATGGAAAACCCCTCTATTAAAAATACAAAAATTAGGCCGGGTGCGGTGGCTCACCCCTGTAATCCCAGTACTTTGGGAGGCCGAGGCGGGCGGATCACAAGGTCAGGAGATCAAGACCATCCTGACTAACATGGTGAAACCCCGTCTCTATGAAAAAAACAAAAAATTAGCCGGGTGTGGTGGCGGGTGCCTGTAGTCCCAGCTACTTGGGAGGCTGAGGCAGGAGAATGGCGTGAACCCGGGAGGCGGAGCTTACAGTGAGCCGAGATCGCGCCACTGCACTCCAGCCTGGGCGAAAGAGCGAGACTCTGTCTCACAAAAAAACAAATCAAAACAAACAAACAAAATCTCCACATGGCCAGGTGGCTCACACCCGTCATCCCAGCGTTTTGGGAGTCCTAGTGGGAGGATTGCTTGAGCCTAGGATTTCAGGAGCAGCCTGGGTGACAAAGTGAGACCCCATCTGTGTGTGTGTGTGTGTGTGTGTGTGTGTGTGTGTGTGTGTGTGTGTGTGTGTGTGAGGCAGGGCCTCACTTTGTCGCCCAGGCCAGGTGCAGGGCACAATCTCAGCTCTCCCATCTGTAGCCATCCTCCCACTTCAGCCTCCCAAAAGCTGGGACTACAGGCACGCATCACCACACCTAGTTAATTTTGTATTTTTTTGTGGAGACAGGGTTTCACTATGCTGGCCAGGCTGGTCTTGAACTCCTGAACTCCTGGCACCCGTCTGCCTCAGTTTCCCAAAGTGCTGGGATTATAGGCATGAGCCACCATGGCTGGCCTCCATCTCTTAAAAAAAAAAAAAAGGGAATCCTTGAACATCTCAGCATTTGTAAAGTTCACCCTTTCCTCAGATGATCTACTGTTTTGTTAATTTCCATCACCTTGGCAAGTATGCCTGTTCTGAACCTCTTCTTAGAAGGACTGCACAGATGTCCTCTTTAGGGTCTGGCTGGAAATATGTCACTTTGCAAACGTATGATGAGAGATAAGAAAGTTGGACATTTAGAGGCTGGCTGTGATGACTCCTGCCTGTAATCCCAGCACCTTGGGAGGCCAAGGCAGGCGGATCACCTGAGGTCGGGAGTTCGAGACCAGCTCGGGCCAACATGGAGAAAACCCCGTCTTTACTAAAAATACAGAATTAGCTGGGCATGGTGGTGCATGTAATCCCAGCTACTCAGGAGGCCGAGGCAGGAGGATCACTTGAATCCGGGAGGCGGAGGTTGTGGTGAGCCTAGATCGCGCCACTGCACACCAGCCTGGGCAACAAGAGCGAAACTCTGTCTCAAAAATATATATATATATATTTGCTGGGCATGGTGGTGCACAGCTGTAATCCCAGCTACTCAAGAGGCTGAGGCAAGAGAATAGAATCGTTTGAACCCAGGAGGCGGAAGTTGTAGTGAGTTGAGGTCACGCCATTACACTTCAGCCTGGGCAACAGCGGGAAACCCTGTCAAAAAAAAAAAAAAAAGTAAAAGAGAGGGAGGGAGGGAGGGAAGCGAAGGAAGGGAAGGAAGGAAAAGCTGGGTTCAGTTGCTTGTAATCCTAGCATTTCGGGAATCCAAGGGGGAGGATTGCTGAAGCCCAGGAGTTCAAGGCCGCAGTGAGCCATGATCCTGCAGCTGCACTCCAGCCTGGGCTACAGCAAGACTTTATTTAAAAATAATAATAATAATTAAAATTAAAAATTAAAGTAGAAATTGGCCGGGTGTGGTGGCCTATGCCTGTAATCCCAGCACTTTGGGAGGCTGAAGTAGGTGGATCACTTGAGGTCAGGAGTTCGAGACCAGTCTGGCCCACATGGCAAAACCCCATCTCTACTGAAAATACAGAAATTAGCCTAACATGGTGGCAGGTAGTGCCAGCTACTTCAGCCTGGAGTGCAGGAGAATTATTTGAACCCTAGGAGGCTGAGGTTGCAGTGAGCTGAGATTGTGTCACTGTGCTCCAGCCTGGGAGACAGAGCCAGACTCCGCCTCAAAATAATAATAATAATAATAATAGTAATAATAAAATAAAGTAAAAATAACGATCTTTAAATTATAACTCAAAACACCAGCTGGCTGGACGTGGTGGCTCACCCCTGTAATCCCAGCACACTTTGGGAGGACTGAAGTGGTGATCACCTGAGGTAAGGGAGATTGAGACCATCCTGGCCCATACAGGCAAACCCTGTCTCTACTAAAAATATGGGCAGGGCATGGTGGCTCATACCTGTAATCCCAGCACTTTGGGAGGCTGAGGTGGCGGATCACGAGGTCAGGAGATCAAGACTATCCTGGCTAACATGGTGAAACCTGTCTCTACTAAAAATACAAAAATTAGTCGGGACGGGTGGCGGGCAAGTCCCAGCTACTCAGGAGGCTGAGGCAAGAGAATGGTGTGAACCCGGGAGGCAGAGCTTGCAGTGAGCCGAGATCGTGCCACTGCACTCCGCCTGGGGGACAGAACGCAGACTCTGTCTCAAAACAAAACAAAACAAAACAAAATTAGCCTTAGCCAGGCGTGGTGGCTGTACCTGTAACTCCCAGCTACTCAGGAGGCTGAGGAGCTTGAACCAAGAGGCCAAGGTTGCAGTGAGCCAAGATCACGCTACTGCATTACAGCCTGGGCGACAGAGGGAAATCCTAAAAATAAAAATAAAAAATAATTGTAACTTACCTCAACCACCACCTCACCCAACCATGGAGAACTGAAAATAGCGTTATCACTTGGGTTTTTTTAATAATCTCTATTTTCTTTTTTTTTTTTTTTTTTTTGAGACAGGATCTTGCCTGCTGCCCAGGCTAGTGCAGTGGTGGAATCATAGCTCATCAAAAGCCTCAACCTTCCACGCTCAAGTGATGCTCCTCCTGTCTCAGCCTCTTGAGTAGCTGGGACAACAGGTACATACCACCACACCTAGTTTTTTTTTTTTTTTTTTTTTTTTTTTTTGATATGGACTCTCGCTCTGTTGCCCAGGCTGGAGTGCAGTGGCGCCATCTCGGCTCACTGCAAGCTCCACCTCCCAGGTTCAAGCCATTCTCCTGTCTCAGCCTCCTGAGTACCTGGGACTTCAGGCGCCCGCCACCATGCCTGGCGAATTTTTGTATTTTTAGTAGAGACGGAGTTTCACCGTGTTAGCCAGGATGGTCTCGATCTCCTGACCTCATGATCCACCTGCCTCCGCCTCCCAAAGTGCTGACATTACAGGCATGAGGCACCGCGCCCGCCTTTTTTTTTTTTTTTTTTTTTGAGACAGCGTTTTGTTCTTGTTGCCAGGCTGGAGTGCAATGGTAACGGTCTTGGCTCACTGCAAACCTCTGCTTCCCGGGTTCAAGTGGATTCTCTTGCCTCAGCCTCCCAAGTAGCTGGGATTACAGGTGCCGGCCACCGCGCCTGGCTAATTTTCGTGATTTTTTTTTCTGTTTTTTTGAGACAGAGTCTGGCTCTGTCACCCAGGTTGCAGTGCAGTGGCACGATCTCGGCTCATTGCAAGCTCCGCCTCCCAGGTTCACGCCATTTTCCTGCCTCAGCCTCCCAAGTAGCTGGGACTACAGGCGCCGGCCACCACACCCGGCTAATTTTTTTGTATTTTCAGTAGAGATGGGGTTTCACCGTGTTAGCCAGGATGGTCTTGATCTCCCTCACCTCGTGATCCTCCTGCCTCGGCCTCCCAAAAGTGCTGGGATTACAGGCGTGAACCACCGCGCCTGCCTGGCTAATTTTGTATTTTTGTACAGATAGGGTTTTGCCATATTGCCCAGGCTGGTCTCGAACTCCTGAACTCAGGTGATGTACCCGCCTAGGCCTCCTGAAGTGCTGGGATTACAGGCGTGAGCCACTGCGCCCAGCCTGGTTCCCAATCTTTGTGGCACTTGTCTACCTTGGACGTTATGTATATAGTAAGCGCTTTGGGGAAGTCCCAGCTCCGTCCACACTGACCTGGAGAGGGTGCCGGGCATCTGCTGAGTGTGAGAGAACGTGGCCTGCACTCCAATCGCCCGCCATCCGCAGCTTCCCGGCCTCAGGCTATGTCTCTGTACAGTGGGGCCCGGGTGGCCACGGGCGGACCCACCACCTGGGTCCAGGGTCTGGGATCTAGAAGCTGGGGTCTGAAGTCTGGGGTTGAGTCTGGGATCTAGATCTGGGCGCCCTGAGGCCTGGGTCCCGCACTGAGGTCTGTGCTCGAAAGTGTTTAGGATCCCCAGTTCGAGTCCGGGCCCTGGACTCCAAATTCTAGACCTGGGTCTGAGTCTGGCTTGGTGGGTGAGGATGCTTAGGAGGGAGCAAGAGGGTCTTTCACCAGCTCTCCTCTGCAGGCCCCTCCTCCTCCTCCCTCTCCTCTCCGTCCCTCCCTCCCCTCCCCCTGCAACACCCTCCCCATTCCCTCCCCCTCCCCCTCCCTCCCTTTCTCCTCCCTCCCTCTCCCTCCCCTCCCCTCCTCCTTCCCTCTTCCCTTCCCCTCCCTCCTCCTCCTCCCTCCTGCCCCCCTCCTTCTTTCCTCCTTTCCCTCCCTCCCTCCCTCCTCCTCCCCCTCCTTCCCCCTTCTCCCTTCCTCCTCCTCCCTCCCTCCCTCCTCCTCCTTTCTCCTTCCCTCCCTCCCTTCTCTCTCCTCTCCCCCTCTCCTCCTCCCCCTGTCCTTCCTCGTTCCCTTCCCTCCTCCTCTCCTCCCTCCCCTCCCCCGTCCCTTTCCCCTCCCTCCTCCCCTCCCTCCCTTCCTCCCTCCTCCCTCCCTCCTCCTCTCCCTCCCTCCTCTTCCTCCCTCCCTCCCCTCCTCCCCGCCCGCGCCGCAGCGACAAAAATGGCGGCGGGTGGGAGCGGCGGGCGCGCGTCGTGCCCGCCGGGGTCGGGTCGGCCCGGGCGTGGGCAGCCCTGGCCCAGCGCCAACGCCGCCGCCGCCCCGGCCCCCGGCAACGCGGCTGCCGCTGCCGCCGCCGCCGCCCCCGGGCCGACCCCGCCCGCCCCGCCGGGCCCCGGGACAGACGCGCAGGCCGCGGGCGCGGAGCGGGCGGAGGAGGCGGCGGGCCCGGGGGCGGCGGCGCTGCAGCGCGAGGCCGCGTACAACTGGCAGGCCAGCAAGCCCACCGTGCAGGAGCGCTTCGCCTTCCTCTTCAACAACGAGGTGCTGTGCGACGTGCACTTCCTGGTGGGCAAGGGGCTCAGCTCGCAGCGCATCCCCGCGCACAGGTGGGCGCCCCGACCCCGCCAGCCCCGGCCCCGACCCTCCCGGCCTGCTCCCCGGGCCCTGCACCTGAGGCCCTGCACCCCTGTGTTCCCGAGACCCTTGCACCCGTTCGGTCCCAGAACTCCTGCACCCCTCCGTCCCCGGGCTCTGCACCTAAGGCCCTGCACCCCTCTCCCCGCGGGACCGCTGCACCCCTGCAGCCTCAGGCCCTGAACCCAGCTCGGCCTGCACCTAATGGCCTGCACCCCTCTGTGCCTGGCACCCCTGCACCCCTCCGGCCCTGAACCCGACCCGGCCTGCACCCCTCCATCCCCAGACTCCACCCAGTTCCCTGGGCTCTGCACCCCTCTGTCCCTGCCACCTTGCACCTCTCTGTCCCCAGACCCCACCAGGCCTGCACTCTGGGCCTCTGCACCTCTGCATCCCCAGGACTCCCTGGATCCTCCACCCCTGGCTTGTGCCCTCAGCCTGTTCCCTGGGACCCCAGGCCCTGTACCCCTGGGACCCCTGCTCTCCTCCATCCCTGGACCCACCCAGCCTGCACTCTTTGAGACCCTCCGTTCCTGGGACCCTCCAACTCGGCTTGCACCTGGGGCCCCTGGGCCCCTCCATCCTTGAACCCCACCCAGCCTGCACCCCAGGACCCTGGATACCGCATGTCCAGGACCCTCCACCCCTGGACCTCACCCCTCCCTGCACCTCAGGTCCCTAGACACCTCTGCCTCCAGATCCCCTGGCCCCTCCACTTCTGGCCGTAACCTCTGCCTGCACCCTGGGCTCCTCCATCCCTGGACCCCACCCGGCCTGCATTCCTGGGTCCCCTCCATTGCCTGGCCCTGCACCCCTACCCACCACCCCGGGCCCCCCAACCCTGGGACGTGTACTCCCATCTGCTCCTCCATTGCAGGACCCCAACCCACTGTCCCTAGGACCTGCATCCCAGGTTGTGAGACTCTTCCACTCTCACCTGAGACCCCACCATCCCCAGTCCTCACCACCTCAGTCCGTAACCCCCAACCTATGACCCCTGAACTCCAGGACCCCTCCCTCCAGGGGTCCTGCTATTTCCTGCGCCCCCACCCATGACCCCCAAGACCCCTGCCTCTTCCCCCACCATCCAGGGACCCTGTCACTCCCACCCACACCCCTGTGCCCCAAGACCCCTGGGCCTTGCTCCCTCCCTGTGTCATCCCCGCTGCCTCCAGAGCCACTAACCCCCACCGGAGACCCCCAGGCTCAGCACATGATCTCGATCAGAGACCCTCAAACCATGCTGCTCCCCTCCAGAGATACCCCCGCCTGCCCTGCAGTCCAGATTGTAGACTACCACCCGCAGCCACTCACTCAGCCCCAGGCCTCCACCTCAGCCAGAGACCCCTGGGCCCTGCTGCCTCCCACTTCAGTGACCACTCGCCTCCAGCTCCGCCACTGCCAGGCTCCCGACCCTGGGCCCTGCCACCGCCTGTACCACATCCTATGACCCCTTGCCACCAGACCACCACCCTAGACCCCCGCCCAGACCCCATGTTTCAGCCCTTCCAACCCAGAGACCTCCAGCTCAGGGGTCCCTCCCTCCCCAGCCCCCAGGCCTCCTTTCTGGGAAAGCGGCGGGTTTGGTCCAGTATCTGTCTCTGCCGGTGTGCCAGGCACTGGCCCCAGGACCCAGGTTCCCCCCACTCCCGGGTCCCTCTTACCCTGCCCCTCATTGGCGCGGGGGGGAGGCAGGGGCTGGGTTTTTTTGTTGCGGGGCCTGGAGGGGAGGGTCCTGCCCTCCCTTCTGACCTTCGGGTGCTTTTGTTAACCTGTTCTGGCTTCTTCCTGGGTGTTTATGGGCAGCTGGGTCTCTTCTGGTGGGGTCCTGCCCCTGGATGGTTCCGGGACCTCCTGTGGCTCGTGCTGTCCCTGTCGCTGTCATTCTTAGCTGCTGGGCCTCCCCTAGCTTGGAGTGGGGGGCGGTGGGTTTGCCCCCTCCGCCTGGGTGGTCTTCGTGCTCTCTGGGGAGGGGCGGGTTGGTTGCAGCTGGAACTCACCCCGCAGCAGGTTGGAGAACCCCAGGCTTTCTGTTTGAGGGGCAGGCGGGGTCCCTTGAGCGCCGGCTGACCGTGGGACATATACGCGATTGCACTTGAGGGACTGCTGGCTCGGTTGCAAAGTGGGGAGGATGCAGGCAGGACAAGGACCCCTTGGAGAAAAGTAGGCCAGGGGTCTGCCCCTGGGGGGCTCAGGAGAGGGCAGTGAGGCCCAGCGGGAGATGGCAGCGAGGTAAGGTGGGCGGGCCTGGGGCAGCGGACCTTCGACGTGGGGTTAGGGGTATGGACCCTCACTCAGCTCAAATCCGAGTACAACTTTTGTCTCCCACGAACTTAGCTAGGGACTTAACTAGGAACGGCTTCTCACCAACCGGAGGCCTTGTGAGGACACCCGGTCCGTGCACACCCGCTTCCTGTTCTCACAATAACGGAGGCTGGAGACCAGAAAATATATTCAGAAAAGCCTAAGGGGCCGGGCGTGGGCGCTCACGCCTGGAATCCCAGCACTTTGGGAGGCTGAGGCGAGTGGATCACCTGAGGTCAGGAGATCAAGACCAGCCTGGCCAACACTGAATCCGTGTCTCCACAAAAATACAAAAATTAACCGGGCATGGTGGCGCATGTCTGTAATCCCAGCTACTCAGGAGGCTGAGGCACGAGAATCTCGTGAACCCAGGAGGCAGAGGTTGCAGGGAACGGAGATTGCGCTGCTGCACTCCAGCCCAGGCGACACAGTGACACTCCATCTCAAAAAAATAAAAATAAAGGACAGGCCAGGCGCGGTGGCTCACGCCTGTAATCCCAGCATTTTGGGAGGCTGAGGCAGGTGAATCATGAGGTCAGGAGTTCGAGACCATCCTGGCCAACATGGTGAAACCCCATCTCTACTAAAAATACAAAAAATTAGCCGGGCATGGCGGTGTGCACCTGTAATCCCAGCTACTCGGGAGGCTGAGGCAGGAGAATGACTTGAACCTGGGAGGCAGAGGTTACAGTGAGCCAAGATTGCGCCATTGCACTCCAGCCTGGGTGACGAGCGAGACTCTGTCTCAAAAAAAAGGAAAAAAAAAGTGAAAGGAGAAAACCTGTTTGCTGTTCGCACAGTGGAAGTGACCATCATGAAGGCCTCTGTCCTTGTGTTCATGTTGAGGGCTGAGGAGGAGCAGCAGGAGGGTGGGTCTCTCTGTCTCGGGGGTGGCAGAGGTGGAAGGGGAGGTAGGAGAGGCTGGCACCGTTGGGGCAACCTATATTGGAAGCATTCATGTATGAGTGGACTCGTGCAGTTCCAAACCGCCTTGTTCGAAGGTCATCTGTATTTCCTTAGGATTTCAGGAGGGCTGAAAATGGAGAGGGGGCACTGACCTGGTCCAGAACGACGCCCTGAGTAAGTGATGTTGACGGGGAATGCCGTGCCCCTGGCTCAGGGATGGAAGGCCCAGAGCCCAGAGGAGCTGGGCAAGTGGGAGCCATGGCAAGACCGGAGCAGGAGGAGTGAGGGAAGCCCTGTGGTCCAGCATGACCAGATCCGCGTTGAGGGTGGAATGCGCCATGGAGGGGCCCAGGAGTGAGGCTGGGGAGCAGCAGCTGCAGACTCCAGGCGGGAGACAGCGGCGGGGGCTTGGTGGGGATGGCAGAAATGAGGAGTAGAGGATGCAGGTCCTCTTTGGAGGAAGCGAGTTCCTGTGGCCAGGAGAGGAGGCAGCTTGGCAGGTGAGGGCTTGGGGGGCTGCAGCGGGGGTCCCCAGACTTCTGGCTGGAGTATCACAAGCCAGGACAGGCTCAGGAGGGACAAGTACTGGCTTGGATGTGTTTGCGGCACCTAGGGCTGAGAGGTCTGCAGAGCAGTGCGTCCCAAGTGCCCTGTGCCTCAGTTTCCATGCCTGTGAAATGGGGTCACTCAGACACGTCTGTCCCAGGGCTGTGGGAACAAACGGACCCGATGCAGTGCTGACAGCCACAGGCCACACAGCAGATAGAAAACAGCAGTTGAGGCCGGGCGCAGTGGCTCACGCCTGTAATGCCAGCACTTTGGGAGGCCGAGGCAGGTGGACACCTGAGGTCAGGAGTTCGAGACCAGACTGGCCAACATGGCAAAACCCTGTCTCTACTAAAAATACAAAAATTAGCCGGGCGTGGTGGCGCCCACCTGTAATCCCAGCTACTAGGAGGCTGAGGCAGGAGAATCGCTTGAATCTGGAAGGCAGAAATTGCAGTGAGCCGAGATCGCGCCCCTGCACTCCAGCCTGGGTGACAGGGCAAGACTCCGTCTTGAAAAAAAACACTGGGGGTACGTCGGGAAGAACTGGGGGTGCTGGAATAAAGCCTGGAGTTTAATGATGAGCGGAGAGGGGCCGGGGCCTTGCTGGCTGTGGGGAGAGCAGGTGGCCTGGACTTGGGCCTGGTCCCTGGCTGGGGTGCAGGGTGAGCTGAGACATGGCAGAGAGGAGGCTGGGAGCAGGCCTTGGCGGTGGCCCCAGTGTCTGGGACCATAGCACAGGGGTTGGCATTTGTGCTGGGGAGGAGGCCAGGGTTGCACGTGGCTTCTAGGCTGTTCCCCGGTCCTGGATGAGCACCTGTCCCACCTCACCGCACTGGAGCCTGGTACACAGTAGGCACGCAGTCATTATGCATTGAATGATCTGGGGGGGGGGTTAAACATCTGATTCTCTCGTGGGGCTCCAAGGGAGGACTGAAGATCTCCAGGGTTGCACTTTGGTAGATGTACACATTGGCCGGTCCCATGAAGTTAGTATCTAAAATACCTTTTTTTTCTTTTTTTTTGAGATCGACTCTCACCCTGTCGCCCAGGCTGGAGTGCAGTGGCGAGATCTCAGTTCACTGTGACCTATGCCTCCTGGACTCAAGTGATTCTGGTGCCTCAGCCTCCTGAGTAGCTGGGACTACAGGTGCCCACCACCACGACCGGCTAATTTTTTGTATTTTTTTAGTAGAGATGGGGTTTCACCGTGTTA